GGACCAGGACACCCGTGGACAGGCGGACCAGGACACCCGTGGACAGGTGGACCAGGACACCCGTGGACAGGTGCAGAAGTATCAGAGAGATGCAACACAATATTTAATTTGGGGTATCGTCCTTTTTGTCAAGGTCACTTTCAGTAGTTTGATTTTTTTATTCTGTTGAACCAGAATTTAAAATCAAAGACTGATTTTTGTTCGTTGATTTCCGTCCGTCCGCTTGTTCTGAAGTCGGGTCGCAGAGGCAGCAGCTTGAGCAGGGAGGCCCAGACATCTCTTTCCAGCTCTTCAATAATTTTAAATAATCATGTTTTTTTTTTTGTTCTTATTTTATTTTATTTTTTTAAGAGAAAGATAAAACAAATGTTTTCATGTTTGTATGCCAGGGGTGTTCAGTCCTGGCCTTCGAGGGCCCCATCCTGCACGCTTCACCTGTTTCTCTGCTCCAACACACTGGTTCAGTGGTTAAATGACCTCCTCATGTTCTGCAGAAACCCAATCACCATTTAAATGTGTTGGAGCAAAGGAACCTCTGAAACATGCAGGACAGAGGCCCTCGAGGACCAGGATCTGTGCTTCACTGACATTCAACTCAAACTTCACGTCACTTTCTAACAACGTGGTTAACAAACGGGTGACTGATGGTTCTGGTACTACCTTATTCAAAGGACTGATTTAGGGTTTTGTTTTTTGAAGTCACACCAGTTTTTGTTTTGTTGTTTTTGGATCAGGTAGTCTCATCAGACAACCGAATACGTGCACCCTCATACTGCAACCCTGCGTGTAATCTAACTTTGGTTTGACAGGCTGTCGTTAAATGATGTTTAACATCACAGTAAAAAGTTGCGCCGCTCTGTGTGGCTGCATGTTGGAGTCTGTTACATTCATTCTGAAATTTTGCTTTTGAAAACTTTATCTTTTTTTCTTTATGTAAATTGCTTTTTTCGGACGATTACTTCCTCTGGTGTTAAGTGTTAGAGATCTGATTTCAACAAAGAATGATGACAACAATGGACAATTATAAAAAGGCATACAGATTTAATTTTTTTACAAATTAAAATAAGATGGCGAAACGAAGCAAAAACAGCTAGATCATAAGGCGAATGTAGAAAACTAAAAACAGGAACATGTCTGCGTTGGTCCCTGCCAGGAGTCCAACAGATTCTTAAAGCCACTTAGAGAGGTCAAGGTCGAGAGCTTCAGATCTTTTTGTAAGATATTCCAGGAAACAGGAGCGGAGTAGGAGAAGGCCCTTTTGCCTAGTTCAGTCCTCACTGAGGGAACACTGCAGGTAATGATGTCCTGAGAGCGCACGCTGTAGCTGCACTCACACAGAGACATGTAGGAGGAGATGTATGAAGGCAGCAGAACAAGAAGTGATTTAAAGATGAAAATATACCAGTGAGAGAGTCTGCGTGAAGTTAATTATGTCCAGTTAACCAGTGAATACTGGGTGCAGTGGTGGGTACGATAATCACAGCCAGTTATGAATCTTAGTGCACCATGATAGACAGCATCCAACATCTGCAGGGTTCTTGTAGGAGCGTTCATGTAAATAATGTCACCAAAATCAATTGAGGGAAGGAAAGTCACAGATACAAGGTGTTTTCTAGCATTCAGGGTTAGACAGGATCTGTTTCAGAAAAAGAAACCCAGTTTAACTTTCAGTTTCTTTACCAAGTTTTCCATGTGGAGCTTAAAAGAGAGATGTGAGTCGACCAAGATACCCAAATATTTATAGGAATCAACAAACTCAATGAGGACACCATTTGAGGATGAAATCAGAGGAAGATCTGCTGGGACCAACTTCCTATTTGAAAAAAGCATCCCTTTGGTTTTGTCGGCATTTAGGACAAGTTTGAGGCGGAACAAATCCGACTGGACGTTGTTGAATGTAGATTTCAACAGCTGAAAAGCCTTAGCAACTGATTTAGCTTGACAATAAACAACTGTGTCATCAACATAGAAATGTAAGGATGTGTCAAGGATGCTCTGACCTACATTACCTATGTAGATTGTAAAGAGGATAGGTCCTAAGACTGTGCTGTGTTGTTTCCTGAAACCAGATTGATCGAGAGGTAAGATGTTAAATGAGTCCAGGTAATTTTTGATTTTAGAGTTTATCAGTTTTTCTAGAACCTTGGCTAAAATGCAGAGTTTAGAGATTGGTCGATAGTTGTTCAGTGAGGTGGGGTCACCTCCCTTCAGCAAAGGAAGAACAAAGGCTGTTTTCCAAGCATCTGGAATGGAGTTTTGTCTTATAGAGAGATTAAAGATGTGGGACACAGGGACTGTAACATCTCAAAAGCTCAAATAATACCTCAACTACAGCTCCAAATCCCAGATGAGTTGAAAAGAAGGTGCCGTGGATGCATTCCCATCTACCTGGCGGCGGTGCTCGAGTGCCTGACCGCCGAGATCCTAGAGCTGGCGGAAAACGCGGCTTGCGACAGCGGGATGACCAGTATCATCCCTCGATACCTGCAGTTCCATCTGTGGGAAAGAGGGGCTCGGCAGGCTGCTGGGAAGAGTGGCCATAGCTTGGGGAGGAGTTCTGCCTGGCATTCAGGCAGTCCTGCTGCCCACGAGGACCGATAGGTCTGCTGGGTCCAGGTGGATGGATCGACAACTGCAGTCAGTTTCTTCGGTTCTGCTGTGGGATGGACTGCTGCAGATCCTTCCTGCCTACAGACAGCATCTAGAACAACTCTTTATTGAAAGGATGATGAACTATGACAACAAATAATTTCCCTTTGGGATTAATAAAGTATTTTTGAATTGAACTGGATTGTGTTGGGCTTAGAGGCGAACCACAACCGGTTTGATTCAAATTTGAATCACTTTTAGTCATTGATTCTTTTTAAATGTGTGTCGCAGCGTGTGGAACAGCATTAGTGGGAGCTCGTGACACTGATTCATGAAGAGATTGTCACTTTGTTGCGTCACTGGTGTGTGTAATCGCGCCAACAGATGGTGTCTCATGAGCGCGAGAGGAGGCAAAAACCGTCAGGGTGAAAGAGAAGGATGGTGACCGCAGGGGTTGGAGGGTCGGGCAGGACGTTTCTTCTGCTTCCTTCCTTCATTTCCCCCCATCCCTGCTAATGTCCCTTCCTTACGCCCACACACACTGGCACAACGAGCAGGCTTAGGGCATGAGCAAGGTGTTTCCTGTGACCTGGCTCCTCTGGCATGTGATCCAGATGTTTATGGACACCGCCGCTTAGAATTAATTTAAAGGTGTGAAGAACAGCTGTGTTCAACTCATCTGTTAATGCTTCATTCATCCGTTATTTATATACTGTTCAAGCGTCTTGCAGAGTGAGTGAGCGTCGGATTAAAAGCTGCGATACATTATTCATCAGCAGAGACATTTTGGACTCTGGTGCTCGTGCACCCGCTCACACAGCCACAGCAGCTAAACAGCTCTTGAATGTTGCGTTTGTTGATCGGCGCCTGGACTGAGCCCGACTGTGTTTCTGTCTGACAGGCCGTGCGCTGCCCTGCTATGGAGAAGATGAAGAGGATAAAGAAGCGTCTGTCGTTAACGCTCCGCCCCAGCCTGACCATCGACGAGTCACTGTCGGAGCTGGCCGAGCAGATGACCATAGAGGACGGCGGTACCAAGGACAACGGTAGGGCTTCGACCAAACCTCCAGTTTTTACCTCTCAAATCGCCAGAGAGAAAAACGTCTCTGGATATAGGCCATCGGAAAGTCTGGGACATAGTTTTTGGCCTAAATAACGACAAAAAGTCAGATGTCTCATTTAAAATAGTTTATAAGAGCTAAAGGGATGTAGATTTCTCATAAAATAATTCAATATGTAGCTAAATACATTCAGAGACTACTTATTTTTCAAAATAATTTGAATTTGGTTGTTTATAATGTAACCATAATACATAAATATTACATTTTCTTTATTGTGGATATTTACAAAATAGGTATATTGTATGTTATTACACACAAAAACACATTAGTTAGACTCATGCTAAAGCATTTAGAGTCCCCCTCAACTTTTATTATTTGTTAATTTAATGTACACATTGGTTCAGATTTGTCTGTTCAGTTTATTTCGGTTTATAAAGCGCCAATTCACAAAAGTCAGGTTGGGGCACAGTACAAAGAAAAGCACAACAATTACAATTCATAAAACTGATTCAGTCCAAAACACGTCCAGATTAAAGTCCAGTTACACTCTGTTCAGTCCTGTATCTGTTCACATACCATTTAACGTCAGTGCCAATTAGAGTAAAGACATTATTCATCCAAGGAAAGCAGCAGATTGATTGAATCCTCCATCCTGAGCAGCACTTTGGTGACAGTGGAAAGGAATGACTCCCTTTTAACGGTAAGAAACCTCCACCAGAACCAGGATGGGCAGCCATCTGCCTCGACCGACTCTGGAGAGAGAGGACTGGAAAGTGACAGAATGACTGATCTCGATGTAGTCTCTGTGGTCCAGGTGTAGATTCTATGGTTCATGTGGTCCAGGTGTAGAT